CCAGCCGGCCGCCGAGGCCGAGGGACCCCCGCGTTGGAAGAAAGGGTAGGAAGCGACCCGGGGAGGGGGACGACCGAGACTGAGCAGCGAGGCGTCGGTTCCCTAGGGCCCTGGGTCGAGACCTGGTGCAGAAGGATGGGCCCGGGTCCCCCTACCCCATCCAACCTGCCATGGACACTGCCAACGGGCAGGGAAGTGAATTGGGCTGCTAAAGGCCATTGCATAGGCTTTGGCCATTAGGCTGTATTGCCCTGAACTCTGGGACAGCCCTATTTATTTATTTTGTATTCTCACACCATCAAGGAGCCCCAGCCCTGGACCAAGACCCCACTGTGCTGGGGGTGGTACATGTTATTGCTCTCAGGTGTATTATGGTAGCACCCAGGCTACCGTTGTGCCAGGTGACCTACGAACACACAGAACAAGCCGGTCCCTGCCCGGGAGAGCAACGATCTCCCAGTCACCTTGCTCCCTTCTTGCCCCGAGCGTGAATATTCATGTTCCGTAATGATCTGCCGACCAGCTTCCTCTTGGCTTCGGGGTGACTGGTTTCTAGTTCTTGAAATGCACCCGATCTCTGCCATTCTGTGATCGCCCACACGCTGAATGCCAGGCCCAAAGCGAGAGAGTTTCCCTGTGTGGCAAACCTCACACACGTTGTTGGGGCGTCTACGGAGACTGTTTGCGTTACAGATGGGGCCGACTCGTGTGAGGAAGTCTCTGACGCGGGGCGTATAATTAAACATCCAGCGGGGTTCCATGGCGCTTAACGAACGCTTCCTCGGGAAAAGAAGCAATTTTGTCTCCGCTAAGCCGGCTTGCATAAACACGCCACTAGGTTTTGTTTCTAATTAATACCAACGAGGTGGGATGGCTTCACTCCTCGAGTCGCAGCAATTTAGTTGGCTGCTTGCCTTGTGTGTTACGGCCGTACTACATCACGCTTGGCAGGTGTTTGCAGCACAGAAATTGCAGGGGTACGATCATTCGGCTCTCAGAATGAAAGGATCATTTTTGCCCACGGACCTAATGATCGGAGTTGACTTCTATTGAACTCCAAGGAACTGAAGGGAGGGTGGGTTATATGGGTTTGTGGGGAGGGAGGGAGGGAGGGATGGCTAGATAGAAGGGAGTGCGTGGGGAATGGATGGATGAATACGCCTTGAATCCTGCATGCCGTTCGGGTCGCCCCATCTCAAAAAGATACGAGAACTGGAAAAAGTCCAGAGAAGGGCAACAAAAACGATTAGGGGATGGAGCAGCTTCCGTGTGAGGAGAGATTCAAAAGACTGGAACTTTTCAGCTTGGAAGAGAGACGACCAGATTGGGGGGATATGATAGTCTATAAAATTGTGACTGGTGCGGAGAAGGTGAACAAGGAAGTGAATAAGGAAGGGTTATTTACTTCTTCTCGTAACACAAGAACCAGGGGTCACCCAATGAAATTAATAGGCAGAAGGTTTAAAACAAACAAAAGGAATGACTTCTTCACACCACACACAATTAACCTGTGGAACTCATTGCCAGTGGATGTTGTGAAGGCCAAGACTATAACAGTATTCAAAGAGAATGAGATAAGTTCCTGGAGGACAGATCCATGAATGGCTACTAGCCAAGATGCTCAGGGATGCAACCCCATGCTCTGGGTGTCCCTGAACCTCTGACTGCCAGAAGCTGGGAGTGGATGATAGGGGATGGATCACTCGATAATTGCCCTGTTCTATTCCTTCCCTCTGAGGCATCTGGTGGCCTCTGTTGGAAGACAAGACACTGGGCTAGATGGACCATGTGGCTGTTTAATTATGGGACTCGTCGGTGTCTGCCCAGTGAAGTCGCTCATTGCCAGGCGCAGTTTGGATTTCAATTATTTTTTAACAACATTTACATCAGCAAATTGAGTAATGGGGAGATTAGCACAAGGCAGGAATATGATCCAGGGGCTACAATGCAGCCGAAGGAATCACGATGGCTTGGTCCTATCTCAGTGCTACAGTGTTACTTGGGAGCTGAGTTGTGTCACTGTTCAGTACCTCAGTTTTCCCTTCTCTAAAATGGGTTAATACTGTCCTGACTTTGTAAGGCCAGACCACCAGCTGGTGGTAATTGGCCGTAACTCCACTGAAGTCAGTGAAGCCAGATCCCCAGCTGGTATAAATTCAGCCTCTTCTCCACAACTTCAAGGACCAGAAACTTTCTTCATTTGAAGTGAGGGAGGAGATTTTCACCCAATGGCAACTGAGGCACCAAAAGTTGGCCAAAACATTTCAGCAGCTTACGTTTTCACCAGGTTGTAAGTGACCTAAAGAAATCTATGAGTGCTGGCTGGAAAATAGAGGATTTTTTTCTGCAGAAAATTTGGACGCTTTTTGTTAAAGAGCAGAAACCCAAAATCTTCGGATCAAAAACTGGCGAAGGCCAAAGAGATTTAGGCCAAAAGCTGCCAGCACCTGAAAAGTTTGAGCTGAAACGCCAAACATTTTAGGCCCCAAACTGCCAAAAGCAAAATCATTCGAGACCAAAAGCAGATTTATTTTTTTAGGGCAGAATCTAAAAAATGTAGGCCACAACCCTGAACGTGTTCAGAAGAAAATTGGAAAAGTTAAAGCCGAAAATGAAAACCTTTTGCAGCCCCGAAAAGTCTGGTTTCGGTTTTCCCGAGAAAACGGGAACGTTTCTGTGGAAAGCAGGTGCCTTCTGTGAAATCTTTCATCCAGGCAAACCCTTCCTCCCCCATATTCCCCTCGCATTGAAGTTTCGACAGAAAACTTGGGATCAGCCCTAAGGTCTGAAAAAGCCGTACCTGTGAGAGCAACTGCCAGGATGGTGGTCCAATTCCTCTGGATGCTGTGATCTCTTTCCACCTGCTTTTCGCTGCTGACTTTGTCTCTGCTGCCCCATTGCCATGGCTTTTATGCCCTGGACGTTTTCTGTTTGTAACCTTGCAAAAAAGAAAACGTGGTTTTGCTTTTGGCGCACGGGGCGAATCCTTAGTGCTCACGTTTGGAAAGGAAAAATGGAAAGGTTAGGCAGGTGCGTGCAAACAGGGTTGCAAGGGAATGATCTCTGGAGAGGAACCACCAGGTAGTATCCTGGCTAAGTGAGGTAGGGTTTGGGGAGGTTTTGTACAACATTAGCATAAACTTGCCTCTCTGTTTCTGAGGTCTCGACCAATCGGAAACCACATCAGGAGGAAGTAAAAAGGACTTCCCCCGCTCGCTCACGAAATCCTGAGTTTGCTTTGCTGCGTGGTTTTCACTCTGGTTTGCACAGAACCGGGGGGAGTCATGGGGACTCGTGTCTGGTGGGGGTACACGAAAAGATTTTGTGCTGACGCCAAGGGGCAAAAGTCAGCAAGGTGCTGGAGGCGGGGTGGACAGAGTTTGAGCCGCAGCAGCTGGGGCAGGCCCCGCTTGTTTGGGTCAGAGGTGCCGGGAGATCTGAGGTTCGGAGGGGTGGGGGTGGGGGTGGGTTTGGCCTGTGATAGGGACCAGGAGTTGGACATGAAATTAGGATCCGGATGCCAATTTGCCCCCAAAGTTTGGGGCCAGTTTTTTTGCGACAGCCTCCACTTTATACAGATCTAGGAGAGACTTTATATCAGGAAGAGGGGTGGAATAGCAGCTGGCACTGAAGGTTGAGAGCCAGGACTCCTGGGTTCTCCCAGCTCCAGGGGGCAGCAAGATCTAGTGGTCAGTGCAGAAGGCTGGGAGCTAGGACTGCTGGGTTCAAATTTCAGCTCTGGGAGACAGTAGGGCCTAGTAGTTAAAGTGGGAGTGGGGAACCTAGACTGCTGGGTTTATGCCCAGCCCTGGGAGGGGAGTGGGGTCCAGTGGTTAGAGCGGGACGGGGGCTGGGAGCCAGGGCTCCTGGGTTCTAATGCAAGGACTGGGAAGCAGCATACTCACACCTCGCTCAGAGTTTCCTGCATGGATAGATTTGGGTGCATTACCCGGAGCTGGGTCTCTGTCACGCCTTATGTCCCACCCCACCAAGCCGAGAGTTAGGGTTTCCTCTGACCTCCTGTCTTATACAATCCTTGGCCATTTCAACCCCAGACTCCCAGGCCCTGGCTCAAAGCGGCAGAAAATCTACCGCTGGGCCCTAGCACAAGTGCAGGATCTTCTGGAATCTGGGAAGTTTGGGAATATCTGAGTGATCATGGAATATCAGGGTTGGAAGGGACCTCAGGAGGTCATCTAGTCCAACCCCCTGCTCAAAGCAGGACCAATCCCCAATTTTTGCCCCAGATCCCTAAATGGCCCCCTCAAGGATTGAACTCACAACCCTGGGTTTAGCAGGCCAATGCTCAAACCACTGAGCTATCCCACCCTCCCCCGATCTTAGATCTTAGATTATATTTTTTTGCATGTGGGATGTAAATTATTGGAAGAACAAATATTGTCTGTTAGGTGTATTACGGTAGCTCTTAGACACCCCAGTCATGGCCTAGGCCCCCATTGTGCCAGGTGCTGTACATTTTTGATGCTATTAGGTATATTACAGCAGGATCCTGGCTACTGCATCAGGTGCTGGACAAACCCAGACCAGAAAGACAGTCCCTGCCCCAGTGAGTTTCAGCCTAGGTTTGTGGCTCCTCTAATGCGTCAACCCTCCCCCGGTCGTCTTCTTTATTCCCAGCCGATTCTCAGAACGCGGCCCCGTTTTGAATCGTCTAAAGCAGAAACCACCCAGCCGAGGACCCAGAGAACAGCTGGGTCCCTTTGGGCACCTGTGCTGTGTCCCAAGCTGCAGGATGTGGGAACCGCCAGCAAGCGGCCCTGCAGCGCCCAGCGAAAGGGCGTCTCACACCAGTGAGTCTGTTCAGCGCAATCTGAAACCAGCTGGCATTTGAAGGGGACGGTGCCCAATAAAACAGGCCTGAGATGTCGATTTTTAATTTTTTTTTTGTAAACTTAAACAACAACAAACCCAACCCCAATCCTCCCCCAAACGAAAACCAGAACAGAACCCCCTAAAACCGCCTCACCCCAAGCCAATAACATCCCAACAGAAATTAGAAAAAGAAAATCTGATGGAAACGGTTGCCTCTAAACTGGTGGACTGTCCCCACCGATGCTGGCCGCCCACACGTGGCCAGATTAAAGCTGATGGAAGGAAGAGCTGTTTTGTTTTTTTTAAACACCAGGCCAAATTAGCCTGTGGAACTCATGGCTACAGGCCGAGAGAGGGACAGGATTCCTTTGACGCAGCTGAGACCAGCCGCTGTCAGAGATGGGCCTTTGGACTAGCTGGGCCAGATGAATTGATTCAGGGGTTTGAAGGCCAGAAGGCAGCCAAGGGTTTGGGGGATATCACTTGGTTTGAAAAAAGAAATGTCTCTAAGTCATAGAGCAGGAAGGCCAGAAAATGCACCTGATCCCAGAGTCTTACTTTCTAGGCGGGTAGATTTGTAAGGCATGAAGGGACTATTAGATCTTCTAGTGCCTGTCCCGTGTAACAGATCAGAGACTTTCATTCTGACCCCTTGGTGCTGAGTTTGGCTAATGCACCTCCTCCGGAAAGGCAGCCAGCTGGGATCCGACTCCAGAGATGGAGAATTCACCCCTTCCCCGTGATGTTCATTGCAACGGTTAATTGCCGGCACTGTGAAAAATCGTGGCTTGATTTCCAGCGGGAATCTGTCTGGGTTTGACCTTCAGCCATTGCCACGTGTTCTGCCTTTCTCTGTGAGACTGAAGGGCAGTTTTAGTCTCCGATAGGTTCTCCCCGTGGAGGTGTTTACACACTGGGCTTGACTTACCTCTCTGTCTCTTCTCTTTGACTGAGCTCCTGAAGTCTCTCACCACTGGGCATTTTCTCCCACCCTCAAAGAATTTTTGTGGCTCTGCTCTGCCCCTTCACAGGCCTTCAACGCCCGTTTGAAAACATGGTCCCCAGAGCTGGTCGCAGTAGCCCAGTATTGGTCTCATCAAGGTTGTGCGCAGAGGTGGAATCCCATCGCTGACACCATGTATACAGCCCAGGACGGCATCAGCCCTGCTAGGCCCAGCGCCACCCGGGGACCTCACGCTGAGCTGCTTGTCTGCCATGGTCAATAAATCTTTTCTAGCGTCCCTGCTTTCCAGGAGACAGCCCCCCCCGCCCATTCTGGAGGGACAGGTGCTGGTTTCAAATATTGCAAAACCTGCCTGCAGGGTAGTTCTTGCCCAGCTAATAATAATCCCTCACTCTTATCAGCGGGGAGATCTCAAGAGGCTTTACAAAGGAGGCCGGTATTGATACCCCCATTTTACAGGTGGGGAAAACTGAGGCCCAGAGGGGGGGAAGTGACTGGTCCAAGGTTGCCGAACAAACCAGTGGACTAGAACCCAGATGTCCTGAGTCTCAGACCAGTGCTCTATCCACTGCCTCCCTCCTAGGAGTGTGTTTGTTCCCGATACATTTTTATCCTAGCCGACATACCTCTGGGTGACCCTGCTATCTAGGTACATGTGTAGCCCTTGCTTCTACCTCCCATGATGTGCATGGCACAGCAAGGACATAAGCCTGCTCTATCTGCCAGCCAGATGGGAGTGATCAGGAAGTTGTGAGCCCAGCCGCACTGTTCAGTCTTGAGGATACCAGCTCTCTGCCTCAGTGACATCTTGTGGCGGTGAGTTCCACAGGTTAACGGTGCGGTCCTTCGATCAGTTGCCTTTCAATTTCCCTGGGCAGCCCGCGACTCTGAGGAGTGATCAGTGCCTTGTTTGACAATAATCCGGGCCAACAGGGGCACCCGGCTACCTTTCTGGATTGTACATGCCTCTAGCCACATTCCTTCTGATTTCTTCTCTCCCGGAATGGCCTTGTTCTTTTCAACCCCTCTTCATTTCTCTTGCCTGGCTCCCCTCTTGCTGAGCCGAAGCAGGCTGCTGTTGGGGGGACGGGCATGCTACGCCTCTGTGATGCTATCATCAATATCACTTTCAGCCCAGCCGCTTGTCCCTCCGGCTTTCGTGGTGCTCATCAAGCGGCTGCCTCTCGCCGAGCTGTCGGGGAGATGGTTTTCCCCGCATGCTCGCTCTTTATTGAGAGCTCATCAGCTCGAATGCGCAGCTCCCATTGCCCTTTGCGATGAGCACCCCCTCGCTTGCACTTCAGCAATCAATTCCCCGCCGGCTTCTCCTAGCGCTCGCTAAAGTAAACATATCATTTCGTGTCACCCACTCATCTGAGTCTATGCCGTCCCTACATTGTTAATAAAAACCCACAGGTGCCACGGCCTCCCTACAGATCTGCAGGGCGGCCGATACTTAACCTTTCGCCAGATTGAAAATTACCGGTCTCTGGCTCGAAGATGATGGTTTCTGACCCAAGACAGGGCTTCACTTCTCTGCCCCTTGGCAGGGAGCTATTTTCTTTTCTAAGCATGTGGGGGTGCGGGGAGAAATTGCTTCCCCGCTCGATGCCTCCGTTTCCTCACTGTCCTCCTTTGTAAAGCACTTTGAGATCCACCGCTGACAAGTGCTAAGTGGTGGTGTTTATTAGGTGTATTACGGTAGCACCTACCGGCCCCGGTTGAGAGTGGGGCGCAATCCTGCACAGGTACAGAGTGAGAGACAGTCCCTGCCCCCCAAGAGCTTAGTCTCAATAGACAAAGGGTGGGAGGGGAAACGGAGGCACACAGTGGGGCCTGGTCGCTCAGTGGCAGAAAGAGAACCCAGGGCTCCTGAGTCCTGTCCAGCACCTGACCCACTTCCCTGATCACTTGGTGCTGAGTTCCCACCTCCAAAAAACTGACAAGAGAGACGCAGGACAGGCAGTGGGAAACTGAGGCCCAGAGACAGGAAGTGAGTTACTCAAAGTCTGACCCACCCCCCATCCTTCCACATGTCTGATATTAACCGGTTTGTCTTTCCCCATTGTCTCACTGATACACACAAAACATACAAAGACATTGCCAAGCGTTCTGGTCTTTTCTTTCGTTCATTCTGTCAGTCAATTTTCTGGAAGCGCAGTGAGCAGCAATGCTGAGATACACCCCCAGGGCATTTCTACAAGCGAACTACGAGCAGACAGCACGCGTGAGACAGAGAAACCGTGGCTGAGCGCTGAGGATGGCTCTCAGGGAAACACATCCAGAAGAATTCAGCACTAGGAAAAGCAGGTTCAAAGGTGCTGACCACAACCTAGCAGTGCCAGGGTTAATGATCCTTGGGGTTAGTTAATTATTAGGGAGGGGAAACTGAGGCACCGAGCCAAGATGTGACTTGCCCAAGCAGGCCAGTGTTAGGGACAGGATTAGAAGTCAGGGGGCCAAGCTCCATCCCGGAACAGCTGCGTGCTAGCCTGTGCATCATGGGTGTGTAGATCTGAATTCACAAAGGCAGATTCTGATCTCAGTCACTTCAGAGTGACTCCGCTGCCATCCAGGAAGGTGTTCCAGATTTACATGCGATTCCAGTCTGGTTCCTACTCCAGTGAAGTCAGCGGAGTATTTACCCCATAGTGAAAATGAGATCAGGATCTGGCCCTGGCAGCATTGGTGTGAAAGGAGAGAGACTTGGTGTGAAAGGACAGTGACTCTGGATGTGCACCACAGTGTAAATGAGATCAGGAGCTGGCCCCGGGAGCATTAATGGGAAAGGAGAGTCGCTCTGGATGTGCACCAGAGTGTAAATGAGATCAGGAGCTGGCCCCGGGAGCATTAATGGGAAAGGAGAGTTACTCTGGATGTACACCACAGTGTAAATGAGATCAGGAGCTGGCCCAGAGGGACTGATGTGACTCCAGGGACCCCAGCATGGAAGACATCTGGGTCTGGCCTCTTCCCGCCCTGCCCCGCTCTACGCTGGGCGTGGGATGGCACGGAGCTTGTAGGTGAGGCCCTGGCCCCGGAAAACCCTCCGCAGCGAGGCCAAGTCGATGGCCCTGGGGTCCGTGAGCAGCTCCAGGGTGAAGCTCTGCAGCAGGGTGGTTATGAACAGGAAGATCTCCGCCTTGGCCAGCCCTTCGCCGGGACACACGCGCTTCCCTGGAGGGGGGACAAGAGGACATGCCCGTTGGTTGGGTCTCTTGGTGCCGCTCGGGGCCCTGCCTCCAGCCAGCAGCTGGGAACTGCAGCAGCCCCTGAGAAGGAGCTTCGAATGCCAGGGGCAAGTTGCCTCTTTCGGAGACGCTCAATCTCTTCCCATTTCGCCTTTTCTCCAGCCCGTGGGGCCTTTTAGGGGCTCTTGTCGGTCCCCTCTCCAAGGGGGAATGGCGGTTTTAAAAGGCAGCCCCTGCCCCAGCGAGTGCCCAGTTGAAACAGGCAATGTGGGGGGGGGGGAACTGAGGCACAGAGCGGGGGGAAATGACTTGCCTCAGGTCACCTGGCAGAGCAGGGGATAGAACCCAGGTGTCCTGAGTCCCTGCCCCAGGGTGCAGCTGTGTTCTGTTGTACGCGCCCGGAGCAGGACCCAGTAGTGACGATCTCACCCGCTGAAATCCCCGGGGCTGCTCCCCCTGGTCATAGGTCAGGCGAGAGGCTGGCAAGGCCTTTGCATGGGTCTTTGTTCAGAACTGAAACGGCCCTGAGCCTCTGCCATCTCTCCTGCTTGCTGAGCCCTGCGGGGGCGGGGGGGTGTCCCTGTCCCTGCTGCCCCCTGCTAGAAGGGCTGAGCCCTGCTCTGTGTGAGCGCACACGAGAGAGATGGGAGGTGAACCCGTGTCCCCATTACCTGCAGAGAAGGGCATGGCCGTGTCTCTCTTCCTGAATGCTCCGTTCTCATCTAAGAAATGACCCGGGTTAAAATCCTCCGGGGTCTCCCAGCTGGCTGGGTCGAAGTGCACCGAGGCTAGGAGAGGGATGATGGTCGTACCCTGGGGGGCGACAGGGACAAGACACTGACAGTGTGAGGTTTTAGGCATTTTACGGCAATAGGACTGGAAAGAAAATAATAGCCCCAAGGGGTCGCTATGTCCCTTTCCCAAAGAGGGAAACTGAGGCACGGGGCAGGTAAGGGACGGGCCCGAGGTCACACAATGGACAGCAGAGCGGGGAGGAGAATCCAGAATGTCCTGCTCCTGTGCTGGCCGCATAACATTTCATCACCAAGCTGGCTAGGGGATCCCTTCTCCCACCACTGAAAGGCAGCCACCTCTGGGGTGGGACGGGGCAGCTGCTTGCCCAGGCATCCCTTGCTTGGTGCTGAGATGTAGCCACCTCTGGGATGGGACGCAGCCGCAGTTTAGTGGCACAGCAGCATGGGGAAGTGAAAGTTATAAGGGGGCAGGGTGGCATTTCCTCAGCTAGAGCTGGGCCAGTGACCCCCCCACCCTCCCGCGCCGCATTGGGGCCAGCGCTGGCTGGGGGAGGGGGGGCGTGTGTGTCTCACCTGCGGGATGAGGTACCCCCGGAAGGAGGTTGGGCAGGTGGTGGCGTGTGGCAGGCTCATGGGCACCAGGTCGAGGTAGCGTTGGAGGTCATGTAGCATGGCGTTGGTGTAGGGCAGCTGTAGCCGGTCCTCCAGGGCTGGGGGCCGGGCCCTGCCCACCACCCTGTCCAGCTCCCCGTGCCCCCGCGCTGCAAGGAGACACGTGTGGTCCTGGCACAGCAGGGAAGGGGGGGCTCCCCCCATGTGTGTTCCTCCCCCCCACTTCCTTCCTTAGCCAGCCTCCCCTTCTCACCCGTACCCCCACCTCCTCCCCCACCCTCTATGGCCAGCCCCCCTTCCAGACAGTAACACTTTTCCCAGGATCCTTTGCATCACTTTTTCTGCCCTCCCCCACGCTGGTTGGCCTCCCCATGATGGATCGGGAGTGGGGGTGGGAGGGGCAGAGGTCCTACCTCCTTCTTCCCTCCCTCCTGCCTGGCTGGGGGCTCTTCCCCTGCACCCTCTCCCCTATGGCTCCTTCTCACTCCTTGGACCCTGTTCTTGTCTCCCACACCCTGCTCTCGGGACTGGGATGGGGGGGCTGTAAGTCCCCTTTGTTCTCCCTTTTGCCCAGTGCCCGATGTAATACAGAGCAACCTCAGGGCTGCTCTAATTCATAGGACGCCCCCATGGGCCCTAGGGGGGGCAGAGAATAGCCACAGCACAGCGCGCTCTGGCCATGCCCCTGAGCCGCCCCCTCTGGGCCCTGGGTGACTGGGAGCAGGGTCCTTGCATCTGCTTCACCCTGGCTGGGGTGGCCCCCCAAGTGAGGGATGGAAGGGTGGGATCCTCGGGGCGGGGGGCGGTCCCCCTCCTTTTGAGACCCTTTTATTGCTGCCAGAGCAGCCCGGAGGAGCCCCCGCCTGCCTGAGGATGGAGCCCTCTGTATGGTGCCAGCTGGGGTCCCCCAGGCAGGGAGCGTTGGGGATTATCCGCAGGGCCCCCCCGCACGGCCCCCTGGGGATGGGCCGGGGGAGGGAGCCAGCGTGTCTCGGCCACTTGCACCCACCTTGCATGTCCGGGAACTTGCTGAGCACCAGCAGGGCAAAGTAGACGGTGTTGCTGGTGGTCTCCATGCCGACGATGAACAGGGAGTTGGCCAGCGCGGTCAGGTTCTCATCCTCAAACTCTGTCTGCTCCTTCCCTTGCTCCTAGCACAGGGCCGAGGGTGGGGGGACCCCGGTGAGGCACAATCCCACTCCTCCCCGCAAGCTGGGGTCAAGGGGTGCCCTCCACCAGCCAATGCTGCCCGGCCAAAGGCTGCCAGGCTCCCGGTCCCCGGCCTTGGGGAGATGGAGGGACGGTTGGCCTGGCTCCAGGGGGCTGGGAGGAACGAGCATTGGGGCAGGAATCAGAGCTGGAGAAGAGACAGCCTGAGTCTACGAAGAGGTAATAGATTCATAGATTCATAGATATTTAGGTCAGAAGGGACCATTATGATCATCTAGTCTGACCTCCTGCACAACGCAGGCCACAGAATTTCACCCACCCACTCCTACAAAAAAAAAACCTCACACCTATATCTGTGCTATTGAAGTCCTCAAATCGTAGTTTAAAGACTTCAAGGAGCAGAGAATCCTCCAGCCAGTGACCCGTGCCCCATGCTACAGAGGAAGGCGAAAAACCTCCAGGGCCTCTTCCAATCTGCCCTGGAGGAAAATTCCTTCCCGACCCCAAATATGGCGATCAGCTAAACCCTGAGCGTATGGGCAAGATTCATCAGCCAGATACTACAGAAAATTCTTTCCTGGGTAACTCAGATCTTACCCCATCTAATAACCCATCACAGGCCATTGGGCCTATTTACCATGCATATTTAATTATCAAAACCATGTTATCCCATCATATCATCTCCTCCATAAACTTATCGAGTTTAATCTTAAAGCCAGATAGATCTTTTGCCCCCACTGCTTTCCTTAGAAGGCTATTCCAAAACTTCACTCCTCTGATGGTTAGAAACCTTCGTCTAATTTCAAGTCTAAACTTCCTGGTGGCCAGTTTATGTCCATTTGTTCTTGTGTCCATATTGGTACTGAGTTTAAATAATTCCTCTCCCTCTCTGGTATTTATACCTCTGATATATTTATAGAGAGCAATCATATCTCCCCTCAACCTTCTTTTAGTTAGGCTAAACAAGCCAAGCTCCCTGAGTCTCCTTTCATAAGACAAGTTTTCCATTCCTCGGATCATCCTAGTAGCCCTTCTCTGTACCTGTTCCAGTTTGAATTCATCCTTCTTAAACATGGGAGACCAGAACTGCACACAGTATTCCAGGTGAGGTCTCACCAGTGCCTTGTATAACGGTACTAAAACCTCCTTATCCCTACTGGAAATAGGGTGACCAGTGTAGGGTCCGTGACTGGCTAGATAGACAGAGGGGTGTGTCTGGGGATGGGTGGGGGGATTGGTGGATAGAGGTGTGGGTGGATAGAGATGTCTGGGGTTGGAGGGATGGGTTGGTTAGGGGTGTCTATGAGGATGAAGGGATGGGTGGGGGAATGCGTGGAGGATGTGTGGGTTGAGGGGTGTCCATAGAGATGGATGGGGGGATGGGTGGGGGGTGGGTTGAGGGGTGTCCATGGGGATGGGTGGGGGGATGGATGGAGGGAGTTGAGGGGTGTCCATGGGGATGGGTGGGGGGATGGATGGGTTGAGGGGTGTCCATGGGGATGAGTGGGGGGATGGATGGGTTGAGGGGTGTTCATGGGGATGGGGGGATGGGTGTGTGTATGTGGAGAGATGGGTGGGGCTGCATGGTTAGAGGGGTGTCCATGGGGATGGGTGGGGGGATGGGTGTGTGTGTATGTGGAGGGATGGGTGGGGCTGCGTGGTTAGAGGGGTGTCCATGGGGATGGATGGGGGGATGGGTGAGGGGATGGGTGGAAGATGTGTGAGTTGAGGGGTGTCCATGGGGATGGGTGGGGGGATGGGTGGAGGGGGTTGAGGGGTGTCCATGGGGATGGGTGGGTGGATGGATGGGTTGAGAGGTGTCCATGGGGATGGATGGGGGGATGGGTGTGTGTGTATGTGGAGGGATGGGTGGGGCTGTGTGGTTAGAGGGGTGTCCATGGGGATGGATGGGGGGATGGGTGAGGGGATGGGTGGAAGATGTGTGAGTTGAGGGGTGTCCATGGGGATGGGTGGGTGGATGGATGGGTTGAGGGGTGTCCATGGGGATGGGTGGGGCTGTGTGGTTAGAGGGGTGTCCATGGGGATGGATGGGGGGATGGGTAGGGTGTGTGTGTGGGGGGGATGGGTGGTGGTGTGTGCGTTGAGGGGTGGGCAGAGGGATGGGTGGGGGTGATTGTATCTATGGGAATCTAGCTGCAGGATCCCATCAACCCCCCCGCCCCCCCAATCAATGGGACTGAATTCCAGCCGCGGTCCCCTCCCCCGCCGTCTACCCCGCCGCTCACTGGGCGCTGACTCCTCCTGCCCCCCCGGGACGCCCCTCACCGTGGCCTGCTGCAGGAGGAAGCAGTCAATGAGGTCGCGGGGGGCGCTGGGGTCCAGGCTGCGCTGATGGGATGCCACCTGGGCCTGGATGAAGTTTTTGATGTGCTTGTATTCCCTGAATATCCGCCAGTGCTGGCCGGGCAGGAAGTGCATGATACCTGGGAAGGTATTGTACAGCTGGGGGAGGCCGGGGGGGGAGCAGAGAGATGGGATGGAGCAGCGGGGGGGTGACCGTTTAATAGCAGGGAGGGAGAAGAGAGGCTAAAGCACTGGGCTGGAATTCAGCAGCCCTGGGTTCTCATCCCACCGTTGCCACTCATCTGCTGGGCGTCCCGGCACCGCCCCTCGCTGCCTCAGTTTCCCTGCGGAGGCTGCTGAGCAGAGCTGGCTGGGAAATGGCTTTCCCGTCCGGTGAGTGGCGGGACAAATGTCCTGCCCTCAATCGGGACATCTCGCAAATCCTCACAAACCCAAACTGGGGCTGAGAGAAATTCCAGCACGGGACCGTCGAAAGGTCCTTTTTGGCGCCCGCCTCGTCCGTGTTTGCTTTTGCGACAAATGACCAGAGGCTTGGGAGCGAAAAGTCATTTGGACGCAAAATCCTGGAACTTTTTCCTTTCGAAAACCGTCCGCGCCGGTGGGGACAAGTTTTTCGGAAGTGGGGAATTCACCAGAATGGGCCCTTTCCCGCACCCAGGGCCGGGGAATCGGCGTTTTCCAAGGGGAAACCGGTTTGTCGAAGAATTCCCGACCCGCCGAAGGTGCGTCCCGGCCTCAGGAATGGGCCCAGAGAGAGGAGGCCGCAGCCCAGCGAGCGGCTGTTTTGCTGTTTAGGGGCTGGGATTGTCGGGGGGCCCCCACCCCCGGGTACCTGTGCCTGAAGGGAGCGGAAGTAGCACATGTTGGACATGATGAGACGCAGGAGCTCCTGGAATTCCTCGTTGTCGCTGCTGAAGCGGGTCCCGATCACCACGGAGCAGATGACATTGGCGACGGCCCGGGTGAGGTCGAGCACAGGGTTGAACGGGCGCCCTGCGACAAGGCGGGGAGGGGGTAGCAGACAGCAGGGAACAAGACCCACATGGGGAAACCAGACAGCGCCCAGGAGCTCCCTCTAACCACTAGACCCCACTCCTCTCCTAGAGCTGGGGATAGAACCCAGGAGTCCTGGCTCCCCCCGCCCCGAGCTGGAGATAGCACCCAGCAGTCTGGACTGCGAGCTCACCCAGTTCTAACCACCAGGCCCCACTCCCTTCCCGCAGCTGGGGATAGAACCCAGGAGTCCTGGCTCCCGGCCCCTCCTGCTCTAACCACTAGACCCCGCTCCACTCCCAGAGCTGGAGTGCTGACAGCCCCTGCCCCCTGCTCTAACCACTCGGACACTTCCCTTCTAGAGCAGGGCTCCCAGGACTCGCCGGTGGGTGCCCGAGGCTCACTGTCGGGGGATGCTGCCCGGTGCCCGTGGGGCAGCATCCGGCGCGCCACTGCTCACCTTGTTTGTCAGCCACAGCTTGGGCGAGGTGCCACACCTCCTCCTGCACCCGCTGCTCCAGCGGCTTCTTGCCCATGCCCAGGTTCCGGAGGGTGGTGAGGGTGAACCGACGGAGTTGCCTCCAGCGCTCGCCATTGCTGTCTACTAATCCTGCCACAGCCCCATGAGGACGTCATCCAATGTCGTTAACAGAGGCCCTGGCTCCCCTCCCGCAGCCGGGGATAGAACCCAGGAGTCCTGGCTCCCAGCCCCACGTGCCCGCTCTAACCACTCGACCCCGCTCCCCTCCCGCAGCCCGGGATAGAACCCAGGAGTCCTGGCTCCCAGCCCCACGTGCCCGCTCTAACCACTCGACCCCGCTCCCCTCCCGCAGCCGGGGATAGAACCCAGGAGTCCTGGCTCCCAGCTCTAACCACTACACCCCACTCCTCTCCCAGAGCTGGGAATAGAACCCAGGAGTCCTGACTCCCATCCCTCCCCCGCTCTAACCACTAGACCCCGCTCCCCTCCCAGAGCTGGGAATAGAACCCAGGAGTCCTGGCTCCCAGTCCCCCGGCTCTAACCACTAGAACCCACTCCCCTCCCAATGCTGGGGCTAGAACCCAGGAGCCCTGGCTCCCAGCCCCCCCCCCCCGCCCCTCCTCCCGGCTCTAACCAATAGACCCCTAACCACCACGTTAGGTTAGCATGGGTCACACAAACGGCCACTCCCTGGGATTCATTGGGAAATGTCCCCCACCCCATGAAAATTTTGAACAGTAAGGGAAAGAGGGGGAAAAAAGCCAGGGGTTTTCTATACAATTATTTGAAGGGTTTTCATCCCCTCTCGCCCCCCCAGAAAGGCCAAAGCAGGTGGCTTTCTCCTTGGAGGGCAAACAGAGAATGAAAAAGAATTGCCTGACTAATCAAATTTGGTGCAGTGGGGGTTGGGTGCACTTTTTAAAAAATTTGTAGGGTTCTATCAACACCCCCGCCACACACCCCCTTAAAATTCCAAGCAGAAAGTTTCACTGTGATGGAAAAGCAAAAAAACCCAACAAAATTATAATTTTTGTTTGCTTTTAATCCCAAAAGTCCCATTTTGAGGGAAAATGGTGCCAGCCCCGATGTTCCCCTTGACATAGACTATGGACAATCCCTGGCTCTTTCCATCTGTCGATGTCAAAAGTGGGTAAACTGAGGCACAGGGCGTGCCGTGCCAGTGACTTGCCTGAGGTCACGCAGCAGGCCAGTGTTCTGTCTGGTAGCCCACACTGCCTGACTCCTACAAGCCCGCTGTAATCTCCAGTGGCGGGCAGTTCCACAGGTTAACAAAGCCACAGAGGCAGTGGAGCCAGCGTGATGCCACTAGGCAGGGCTTTGCAGAGAGACCCTCCCCAGCCCGCACTCACCGTAGCCGTGGTTCAGCTCCTTGAGCAAGGGGATGGGCCCCCGCCCACTGAATGCATCACTGTTCTCCACCAGGGCTTCGCGCAGCACCTCGTACCCGCACAGCACCACCGCGGGCCTCGGGCCCAGCCAGACGGTGAAGATGGGGCCGTACTCCTGGCAGAGCTGGGGGTGGGAATCGCAGGGGGAGGGGTAAGACAGCAAAATGGGGCATGGGAGGGAGTTAATCAGGAACTAGGGGGACCCTGTTGTTTCTACCTATGGTGGCTTGAGCCTCCGTTTCCACTCAGGGCAGAGATGGGGGAAAGCAACTTTAAGGCCTTTTGTGCTGCTTGTGCCCTGCCCGGCCCCCAGTGTAATTTAGGGCAGCCTCAGGGCGGCTGTAACTCATGATCCACCCCCTATGGGCCCTGGGGGGCAGAGAACAGCCACAGCTCAGTGTGCTCCAGCCATGCCCCCGATCCGCCCCCTATGGGTCATGGGGGGCCGAGAATAGCCACAGCTCACTGCGCTCCGTCCACTCCCCCGATCTGCCCCCTATGGGCCCTGAGGGGCAGAGAATAGCCACAGCTCAGTGCTTTGGCCACACACTCCGATCCACCCCCCACTATGGGTCCTGAGGCTGCCAATTTTGGTTGGCTGTATTCCTGGAGGTCTCATCACATGACCTAATCTTTAATTAAAAACTAACCTTTAATTCCTGCAGATCTCAGGACAATCCTGGAGGGTTGGCAATTTTAGGCTGGCTCGATCGAGGGGCTGCCGGGAGACGGGGAGCTAGATAGAGGGGTGGGTCTGGGGCTAGATAAAGGGGTGTGCAGGGCAATAGGTAACTCAATTGCACCTGCAGATAGAAACCAAGACGCCTGCTAGATGGACGCCAGACGGACAGACCCGCAGTGGGAGCTACCTTCGGCCTTGGCTTTTGGGTTCCAATCCCGGCGCCCGAGCCCAGCCCCCTTCCTTACCCGGTGGTAGGATTGGTAGAGCGGGAGGATGTTCTGGGTCAGGTTCCCCAACAGGGGCAGGGGGGCTGGCCCCGGGGGGAGGCGCCCGCGGCCCTGGCCTGAGGAGGCTCGGAAGAGGAGGAGGAAGAGGAGGAGAAGAAGGCAGCCAGTGATCAACACGGCACCAGGCTCTATCCTCCTTGGCTGGGGTCAGCACGGCCCGCACTGCTCCACTGCCTTGGGAGGTGTCCGGCAGTGCCCCCCAGCTATCGGCCCCTGGGCCTTATAGCCAGCCGCAGGCTGCCCCCTGGTCACTGATTAACTCGCTGGGCCGGCCCCGCCACAGCAATTGCACATTGACCCTGGCAGCCAGGGCTGGCCCACCAAGGACATCAATGGATTGGAGCCCCCGGCAGCCTCCCCCCTCCCATTCCTGCAGCAACCCCCCACAAAGGACCCTAGCCTAACTCCCTCTGTTGCCAGCACCCCCCAGCCTGGGAAGGGTGGGTCCCTGTGCTCTCGGCCCCACAGTTAGAGGCCGTGATCAATGCACGGAGGGGTCTATCCCCGCTGTCATGCACCAAAGGGCCCGCTCTGCCCAGTGTCCTATGTAGCTTTCCCCGCTGCCCGTGGGGCAGGTAGATTTGGCACAGTCCCTCACTGACCTTTGGGCTCTCGGCTTTCTCCACCCCCTGGGGGCACCCTGGGAAGAACAGCTCCATAGCAGCGGGGCAGGGCTGCCCCTCCCTCCCCCCGGGCATGCTGCCATCGCCCTAAAGAGGAGAAATCTCTCCCCAGGTGGGTCGGTGCGGCCTAGTGGCTGGAGCGTTAGAGTGGGTCTCAGCTTCTCTTCCAGTTCTGGCACTGGGAGTGTCTGCTGGGGCAAGTCACCTCCCGTCCCCCCCTTCGTGCCTCGGTTTCCCCATCTGCGCAATGGGGACAATGCTGCTGTGCTCCTCAGCAAAGCGGGTTGAGATCGCTGCGGGAGACCAGCCGGGGATTGTTATTGACCAGGGAGCGGGGGACAAGACTCGGGAGCGCTCAGTGGTAGCAGAGGGCTCTGGAATTGCCGGGTGCATTGAGGGCACTTGGCCAGTGGAGGGGGCCGGGACACTCACAAAACCGCAGCTCTGCTCCATTAGCCCAAGCAGCTGCTGAGGACCCGGGGCAGAATTTGGATCCGGAGCCCGGTTCTGCCCAGATACCCCGGCCAGGGGTGCTGACTGTGTTTGTGTGCCGGGCACCCTAAGAGATGCCAGTCGGTCTCCAAGCAGGTTGCCCCCCAGTGGCTGGCCACGGGCCTAGAGACCGGTGGCACCGTCAGGAAAGCAAGTAGCCCCCCCATCAATGCCCCCGCTCCATCCCCGTGCTGCTGCATGGGTGGGGGTCTGCAGCTCCGACCCTTCTGATTCCCTCCGGGTAGTGCACCGGGCTGGGGGAGGGGGGCCTGGGCACACCTTGCCCGCTGGCCCCAGGGTCCCTCCCCCTTTCCCGGAGTGGAGTCACTCTGGATTAACCCGGTGTCAATCCGAGCAGGATCTGGCCCTCTGGCACCCCACGCTGACCTTTAGCAGGGGCTGGGAGGAGTGGTGGGGCTCACACGCACAGGGCGGAGGGTCAATGTGAGATGCAGCCCCCCATCCTCCCCAAGGGTGCACCCACCAGGGCAAGATGCAGAGGAGAAGTCTCTTGCGTTTGCAGAGGGGAGGGGAGAAAAGGCCGGGTGGGGCGCCCCCTTAGTGACTAGAGCCTCCAGGGAGGCTTGGCATGAAGGGATGGGGGCAGGTCACTTGGCACGGGGTGCCGCCCGCCCCCGGGGACGCAGAGGCCTCTGGTGCCAGCCGCGCAGGGAGCAGAGCGTGGGGGGGGGCCACTGGCAGGGGTGGTGTCACATGGCATTTCTAGCTGGTGGAGGGGGGAGAGCTGGCAAGGCGCCAGGGCTGTTCAGGGGCAGAAAGCCCAGATCCTCAAGGGTAATTGGGCTCCTCATGTCTGTTGAAATCAAGGAGAGTCCTGGGTTCTATTCCCGGTTCTGGGAGGGGAGTGGGGTCTTGTGGTTAGAGCAGGGGGGCTGGGAGCCAGGACTCCTGGGTTCTATCCCTGGCTTGGGCAGTGGAGTCTAGTAGTTAGAGCGAGCGAGCGAGCGAGGGGGCGGCTTGCTGGGAGCCAGGACTCCTGGGCTCTATCCCCAGCCCTGGGAGGGGAGTGGGGTCTCGTGGTTAGAGCCGGGGGCTGCTGGGAGTCAGGACTCCTGGGTTCTATCCCCAGCTCTGGGAGGGGTGTGGGGACTAGTGGTTAGATGGCTGGGGATGGGCTGGAGCCGGGGCTCCTGGGTTCTCTTCGCTGCTTGTTCAGTGCCCTTGCTTGAATCAGCGGCTCAATGCGGCTCCTGCTCCCTGCTCTTTGAGGCCAAACTGGCGGGCGGTGAATTTCGCTCCCCGCTTTGCTATCGGGGAGAGTGAGGAGACTCCCGGAGGAGCGACACCCGGCTCTGGTGTCTCCCCTGCTGCAGGGTGCGTGCGGCTTTTGGCTGGAAGAACCGTCCCAGTGGTGGCTTAATTATATGTCACGGCACAGAGGCGGGGGGAAATTAGGGCTTCAGGAGAAGGAAAATCCTCTGTGGTCCCAGGCTTCTCCTTGGGATTTTACCTCTTCCCCCGGCAGGGGTCCCCGCTGACTGATTTGTTAGGATTATAATAATGAGCTTATATTTCACCGCTGCCTCGCAGCCCGAAAGAGTCCCAAGGCGTATGAGACGCTGCGTGTAAATGTAGAGTGGCGTATGGATGAGATGCAGCCACCTCTGGGGTGGGGCGTGGCAGCTGTTTATACAGGGATCCCTTGCCCAGGGCTGAGATGCAGCCACCTCTGGGGTGGGGCGTGGCAGCTGTTTATACAGGGATCCCTTGCCCAGGGCTGTGATACGCTGACTCCAAGGCCCCCCCCCCCGCTCTAACCACTAGCCCCCACTCCCCTTCCACAGCTGGGGGTAGAACCAAGCAGCCAGTTGGGGTCTGTGCAGCGCCCGGCCCAAGGGGGGGGGGGGCTCCAATCCCAGCTGGCACCCCTCAGTGCATCTATAACGCGCACAGGGCCAGATCTTCAAAGGTCCCAGGCTCTGATCTCCCCCTGATTTCAAGAGGCCTGAAGGGCCCCAAACCCCTTGAGGCTCTGGGCCTTGTGCCCCTGCAGAACCCTGGTGCCCTGGCTGTGCTGGCGGGTCCTCCGGCTCCGTGGGGGGAGCAGGCCGCCTGGCAGGGCCGCAGGGCCCCCAGTTGCGTGTCACTCCTCCTGCTTCGACTGGGACTCGCACCCAAGCAGCTGGTCCCCAGCCAGAGCCCTGGGAGCCGGTTCAACAGCTCAGTGGGTGCGGAGGGGATGGAGGGGGGGGGGGGGCTGCCGCCATCCAATCTGTCCCAGGGGAGTCTGTGCAGCTTTCCCCCTACAAAGCCGGCTCCCCACCTCTCTCTGCTGGGGCCCCCCAGAGCTGGGCTAGCAGGGGCTGCGGGTCGGGAGTGAGGGGCACTGGCAGAGCTGGGTGGGACCTGATGGCTGGGCTAGCGGCCGGGGGCAGCAGAGATGGGGGTCACCGGCTCCATCCCTAATTGCTGGCCGTCAGATAAATCAGACTCCTGGGGGCAGGGACCTGGAGGGCCCTAAGGCTGCTCAGGAGCCGGAAAGTCCCCTTGTAGATGGACAGACGGACAAACCCTCCCAGATCCTCCTGCCTCCCCTCCCCGCAGCCACGGCTCAGCCCGAAAACCCCTGAATCATAGAATCATAGAATATCAGGGTTGGAAGGGACCCCAGAAGGTCATCTAGTCCAACCCCCTGCTCGAAGCAGGACCAATTCCCAGTTAAATCATCCCAGCCAGGGCTTTGTCAAGCCTGACCTTAAAAACCTCTAAGGAAGGAGATTCTACCACCTCCCTAGGTAACGCATTCCAGTGTTTCACTACCCTCCTAGTGAAAAAGTTTTTCCTAATATCCAATCTAAACCTCCCCCACTGTAACTTGAGACCATTACTCCTCGTTCTGTCATCTGCTACCATTGAGAACAGTCTAGAGCCATCCTCTTTGGAACCCCCTTCCAGGTAGTTGAAAGCAGCTATCAAATCCCCCCTCATTCTTCTCTTCTGCAGGCTAAACAATCCCAGCTCCCTCAGCCTCTCCTCATAACTCATGTGTTCCAGACCCCTAATCATTTTTGTTGCCCTTCGCTGGACTCTCTCCAATTTTTCCACATCCTTCTTGTAGTGTGGGGCCCAAAACTGGACACAGTACTCCAGATGAGGCCTCACCAATGTCGAATAGAGGGGAACGATCACGTCCCTCGATCTGCTCGCTATGCCCCTACTTATACATCCCAAAATGCCATTGGCCTTCTTGGCAACAAGGGCACACTGCTGACTCATATCCAGCTTCTCATCCACTGTCACCCCTAGGTCCTTTTCCGCAGAACTGCTGCCTAGCCATTCGGTCCCTAGTCTGTAGCGGTGCATTGGATTCTTCCATCCTAAGTGCAGGACCCTGCACTTATCCTTATTGAACCTCATCAGATTTCTTTTGGCCCAATCCTCCAATTTGTCTAGGTCCTTCTGTATCCTATCCCTCCCCTCCAGCATATCTACCACTCCTCCCAGTTTAGTATCATCTGCAAATTTGCTGAGAGTGCAATCCACACCATCCTCCAGATCATTTATGAAGATATTGAACAAAACCGGCCCCAGGACCGACCCTTGGGGCACTCCACTTGATACCGGCTGCCAACTAGACATGGAGCCATTGATCACTACCCGTTGAGCCCGACAATCTAGCCAACTTTCTACCCACCTTATAGTGCATTCATCCAGCCCATACTTCCTTAACTTGCTGACAAGAATACTGTGGGAGACCGTGTCAAAAGATTTGCTAAAGTCAAGAAACAATACATTCACTGCTTTCCCTTCATCCACAGAACCAGTAATCTCATCATAAAAGGCGATTAGATTAGTCAGGCATGACCTTCCCTTGGTGAATCCATGCTGGCTGTTCCTGATCACTTTCCTCTCATGCAAGTGCTTCAGGATTGATTCTTTGAGGACCTGCTCCATGATTTTTCCAGGGACTGAGGTGAGGCTGACTGGCCTGTAGTTCCCAGGATCCTCCTTCTTCCCTTTTTTAAAGATTGGCACTACATTAGCCTTTTTCCAGTCATCCGGGACTTCCCC